ACAGAGGACATGGGGGTGACACACAGGGTACATGCGGGTGACACAAGGGTGTGTGCGGGTGACAGTGTGCGCCTGTCCCGCAGTACAAGCGGCAGCACATGGCCCTGCACAAGCTGAACACCGGGGTGACACACGGGGTACACGCGGGTGACACAGGGGTGCACGGGTGACGTGTGGGTGACAGTGTGCGCCTGTCCCGCAGTACAAGCGGCAGCACACGGCCCTGCACAAGCTGAACGGCGCCGCGGCGCTCGTCACCTTCCTGGGCTGCCGGGTGTTGCTCTTCCCCTACCTGTACTGGGCCTACGGGCGGCACCGGGGGCTGCCGCTGCTGCGGGTGCCCCCCGCGCTGCCCCCCAGCGTCAACGCGGCCGCCGCCGCCCTCCTCGCGCCCCAGCTCTACTGGTTCGGGCTGCTGTGCCGCCGCGCCTGGCGCCTGTTGCGCCCGGGGGACACCGCGGGACACCCGGCGTCACCCGGAGACACCCGGTGAGCCCTGGTGACACCTGGAGACACCCGGAAACACCCGGTGAGCCCCCCAGCTCTACTGGTTCGGGCTGCTGTGCCGCCAGGCCTGGCGCCTGTTGCGCCCGGGGGACACCGCGGGACACCCGGCGTCACCCGGAGACACCCGGTGAGCCCCAGAGACACCCGGAGACACCCGGTGAGCCCCAGAGACATCTGGTGACACCCGGAGACACCCGGTGACACCCGGAGACATCCGGTGACACCCGGTGACACCCGGAGACACCCGGTGACACCCGGAGACATCCGGTGAGCCCCAGAGACACCTGGTGACACCCGGAGACACCCGGTGACACCCGGAGACACCCGGTGAGCCCCCCAGCTCTACTGGTTCGCGCTGCTCTCCTGTCGCGCCTGGCGCCTGTTGTGCCCAGGGGACACGGTGACGCACGTGGGGACAGCCGGTGACATTCAGTGACACTCGGAGACACCCGGTGACACCCAGTGACACCCGGCGTCACCCGGTGACACCCGGTGAGCCCCCCCAGCTCTACCGGTTCGGGCTGCTGTGCCGCCAGGCCTGGCGCCTGTTGCGCCCGGGGGACGCGGTGACGCACGCGGTGACACCCGGTGACACGGAGGGACACGTGGGGTGTCACCAGGGTGTCCCCAAAGAACTGGCCCCATCCTGGCAGCACCCAGGGGTGTCACCAGGGTGTCCCCGCGGCCGCGGCTCCCTCCTAGGGGCACCCAGGGGTGTCACCGGAGG